ACAAGTTCATGTGTATCATATTTTAGATTCCACATGTAAGTGATATCATATGATATTTATCTTTCCCTGTCTGCCTACTTCACTCAGCATGAGCACCTCTGCATCCATCCATGTTGTAAATGACATTATTTCACTATTTTTTATGACTAAATAATATTCTATTGTGATCCACACAATTAAAGACTTTAGCTTAGTCAATGAAGCAGAAGTAGATTTTTTTTTTTTTGCTATTCTCTTGCTTTTTCTATGAGCCAATGGATATTGGCGATTTGATCTCTGCTTCCTCTGTCTTTTCAAAGTCCAGCTTGTACATCTGGATGTTCTCTGTTCATATACTGCTGAAGCCTAGCTTGAAGGGTTTAGAGCATAATCTTGCTAGCCTGTGAAATGAGTGCAATTGTATGGTATTCTGAACATATGAAAACTGACCTTTTCTAGACCTTTACTAGCCACTACTGAATTTTCCAAATTTGCTGGCATATTGAGTGCAGCACTTTCACAGCATCATTTTTAGGATTTGAAATAGCCTAACTGGAATTCCATCACCTGAACTAACTTTTGAAATAGCTTAACTGGAATTCCATCACTTGAAGTAACTTTGTCTTCCTAAGTCCCACTTGACTTCACACTCCAGGATATCTGCCTCTAGGTAAGTAACCATACCACCACACAGTCATGGTTACCTGGGTCATTAAGCTCTTTCTGTTATAGTTTTTCTGTGTATTCTTGCCACCTCTTCTTAATCTCTCCTGCTTATGGTAAATTCTTATTGTTTGAGTCCTTTGCTATCTCCAATTTTACTGAAGAGAACACTGGTCTGTCCCATTCTATTGTTTTCCTCTATTTCTTTTTATTGTTCACTTAAGAAGGCTATCTTTTCTCTCCTTGTTATTCCCTGGAACTCTGCATTCAGTTGGGTATATCTTTTTCTTTCTCCATTGCTTTTACTTCTCTTCTTTTTTCAGCTATTTGTAAGTCCTCTTCAGACAACCACTTTGCCTTCTTGCATTTCCTTTCACTGGGGATGGTTTTTGTCACTGCCTCCTGGACAGTGTTATGAACCTCCTCCTATACTTTTTCAGGCACTTTGTCTACCAGATCTAATCCCTTGATTCTATTCATCACCTCCACTGTATAGTCATTATGGATTTAATTTAGGTCATACTTACATGTCCTAGTGGTTTTCCTCATTCTCTTCAATTTAAGCCTGAGTTTTACAATAAGGAGCTGATGATCTGAGCCATAGTAAACTCCGGGTCTGATTTTTGCTGACTATATAGAGTTTCTCCATCTTCAGCTGCAAAGAATATAATCAATCTGATTTCCATATTAACCATCTGGTGATATCCATGTGTAGGGTCTTCTCTTGTGTTGTTGGAAGAGGATGTTTGCTATGACCAGTGCATTCTCTTGGTAAAACTGTTAGCCTTTGCCCTGCTTCATTCTGTACTCTAAGAACAAACTTTCCTGTTATTCCAGGTATCTCTTGACTTCCTACTCTTGCATTTCAATCCCCTATGATGGAAAGAACGTCTTTTTTTTGTGGAAAGGAAAAGAAGCAACAGTTAGAACAGGATGTGAAACAAGGACTGGTTCAAAATTGGAAAAGGAGTATATAAAGGCTGTATATTGGCATACTATTTTTTTAACTTCTATGCAGAGCACATCATGTGAAATGCCAGGTTGTATGAAGCACAAGCTGGAATTAAGATTGCCAAGAGAAATATCAAAAACTTCAGATATGCAGATGACACCACTCCATTGGTAGAAATTGAAGAAGAACTAGGAGCCCCCTGATGAAGATGAAAGAGGAGAGTCAAAAACATGGCTTAAAACTCAACACTCAAAAAACTAACGTCATGGCATCCGGTCCCATCCCTTCATGGCAAATAGATGGGGAAAATGGAAACAGTGACAGACTATCTTCTTGGACTCCAAAATCACTGTGGATGATGACTGTAGCCAGGAAATTGAAAGACACTTGCTTCTTGGAAGAAAAGCTAGGACAAACCTTGTTCTTCAGTTGCTCAGTTGTGTCCGACTCTTTGAGACTGCGTGGACTACAACACACCAGGCTTCCCTGTCCTTCAGCATCTCCCAGAGCTTGCTCAAATGTGTGTCCATCAAGTTGGTGATGCCATCCAACCATCATCCTCTGTCATCCCCTTCTCCTCCTGGCTTCAATCTTTCTCAGCATCGGGGTCTTTTCTACAAACTCAGCTCTTTGCAACAGGTGGCCAAAGTATTGGAGCTTCAGATTCAGCATCTGTCCTTCTAATAAATATTCAGGACTGATTTCCTTTAGGACTGACTCATTTGATCTGCTTGCAGTCCAATGGACTCGTAAGAGTCTTCCCCAACACCACAGTTCAAAAACATCAATTCTTCAGCTCTCAAACTTCTTTATGGTCCAACTCTCACATCCATAATGGCTATTGCTGGCAAAGTAATGTCTTTGCTATTTAATATGCTTTCTAGGGTTTTCATAGCTTTTCTACCAAGGAACAAGTGTCTTTTAATTTCATGGCTGCTGTCACCATCTGCAGTGATTTTGGAGCCAAGAATATAAAGTCTGTCACTGTTTCCATTGTTTCCCCATCTATTTGCCATGAAGTGATGGGACCAGAAACTCTTTGTCTTTTGAAAGTTGAGTTTTAAGCCAACTTTTCATTCTCCTCTTTCACTTTCATCAAGAGGCTCTTTAGTTCCTCTTAGCTTTCTGTCATAAGCATGGTGTCATCTGCATATCTGAGGTTGTTAATATTTTTCCTGGCAATCTTGATTCCAGCTTGTGCTTCATCCAGCCCTGTATTTCACATGATGTACTCTGGATGTAAGTTAAATAAGCAGGGTGACAATATACAATCTTTAAGTACTTTCCCAATTTGGAACCAGTCCTTGTCCCATGTCTGGTTCTAAGTGTTGCTTCTTGGCCTGCATACAGGTTTATCAGGAGGCAGTTAGGTGGTCTGGTATTCCCATCTCTTGAAGAATTTTCCACAGTTTGTTGTGATCCACACAGTCAAAGGATTTAGGATAATCAATAAAGCAGATTTTTTTTTCTGGTATTCTCTTGCTTTCTCTATGATCCAGCAGGTTTTGGTAATTTGATCTCTGTTTCTGCTGCCTTTTCTTAATCCAGCTTGAACATCTGGAAGTTCTCAGTTCAGGTACTATTGATCCCTGTCTTGGATTTTTTGAGCATTAATTTGCTAGAATGTGAAATGAGTGCAATTACCAGATAGTTGGAATATTCTTTGGCATTGCCTTTCTTTGGGATTGGAATGAAAACAGACCTTTCCAGTCCTGTGGCCACTGCTGAGTTTTCCAAATTTGCTGGCATATTGAGTGCAGCACTTTAACAGCATCATCTTCAGGATTTGAAATAGCTCAGCTGGAATTCCATCACCTCCACTAGCTTTGTTTGTCATGATTCTTCCTAAGGGCCACTTGAATTCGCACTCCAGAATGTCTGACTCTAGGTGAGTGGTCACACCATCTTGGTTACCTGGGTCATTAAGATTTTTTTTGTATAGTTCTTTTGTGTATTCTTGCCACCTCTTCTTAATATCTCCTGCGTCTGTTAGGTCCATATCATTTCTCTCCTTTATTATGCCCATCTTTGCATGAAATGTTCCCTTGGTATCTAATTTTCTTGAGGAGATCCCTAGTCTTTCCCATTCTATTGTTTTCCTGTATTTCTTTGTATTGTTCACTTAGGGAAGCTTTCTTAGCTCTCCTTGCTATTCTTTGGAACTCTATATTCAGATGGGTACATCTTTCTTTTTCTCCTTTGCCTTTCACTTCTCTCAGCTATTTGTATGGCCTCCTTAGACAACCATTTTGCATTTTTGCATTTCTTTTTCTTGGGAACAGCTTTGCTCACCACCTTTTATACAATGTTACTAATCTCCATCTGTAGTTCTACAGGCACTCTGTCTATCAGATCTAATCTCTTGAACCTAGACAGTGTATTATAAAGCAGAGACATCACTTTGCTGACCGAAGTCTGTATAGTCAATGCTATGTTTTTCCAATAGTCATGCATGATTATGAGAGTTGGACCATAAAAAATGCTGAGTGCTGAAGAACTGATGCTTCCAAACAGTGGTGCTGGAGAAGACTCTTGAGAGTCCATTGGAGAGTAAGGAGATCAAACAGTCAATCCTAAAGGAAGTCGACCCTGAATATTTTTTGGAAGGACTGATTCTGAATTGAAGCTCTAATACTTTGGCCTCCCTGTGAGAAGAGCTTATTCATTGGAAAAGTCCCTGATGCTGGGAAAGATTGAGAGCAAGAGGCCACTGGTGACAGAGGATGAGATGGTTGGATGGCATCACTGACTCAGTGGACATGAGTTTGAGCAAAGTCTAGGAGATGGTGAAGAATGGGGAATCATGGCATGCTGCAGTTCATGGGGTCTCAAAAAGTCTGATAGGACTTAGTAGCAGGACAGCAACAGCAATGTTTTGTTGTATATATGTACCAACAACAAAATGTAGCATGTCTTCTTTATCCATTCATCTGTCAGTAGACATTTGGATTGCTTCCATGTCTTGGCTATTGCAATTTGTGCTGCTGTGAATATAGTGGTTCTTGTATTTTTTTGAATTAACTTTTCAGATATTATACCCGAGGGTGTAATTGTAATATGGTAATTCTAGTTTTAGTTTTTAAGGAAACTCCATACTGTTCTCCAAAGTGACTGCATTAATTTACATTCCCATCAATTGTGTAGAAGCGTTCCTTGTTCTCTATACCCTGCAAAGATAAAATTCTTTTTTTTAAATGAGTTTAAATGCATTTTATTTTTAGACAACCTACATGACACGTTTCTCAAAAACAATGCCTCTGCTCCAAATAAATCAACGTTCAAAACAAATGAAGAGCTCAAGATGACATCAGTCCCATCTGTCTAAGTCCTGGTGTTGTGTGGATGAAAAGCAGTGGCCAGCCAGTTATGACGACAGGTGATTGATCCAAAGTAACTGCCAACTTTGTTAACATTTTTCCTTCTTTAAACCATCCTTAGAGAAAATCATATATGGGGTTACAACATCCTCATGATAGTCTAGCAGAGCAACCATGCCATCTGTATTCATGTTTTCACCAATAAAGAACTGATCGTTTTTGAAATTAGCAAGGATGTGCTTGATTTGTTCTGCAGCCCCTGTCATAAAAGGTTTTACCTTTCTGGTCTCTGTTCTTCAAGTGTGCCTTCGATTGACTTCGTGTAATCTTTGATGTACTTCTTGGAGGCTTCTTTTGTGAAGCTGGTTTCCTGCAAGTGATGGTTCATGACGATATCAACACCAGTGATTACTGTGCTGTCGGTACCTTCTCCCTCGGGGCTTTCAGCGGAGGCATTTCCGCCAACCAGCGAGTCATCGATGTTATCCTCTGTACTACTGACCATCTTCCCCTCCGCCTCCAGACACAGCCCGTCCGCTACCTCCCGGATCTTGTAGATGTCGGAGAACATCTCGTCATGGCTAATGAGGTCCCGGTAGATGATCATGATGGCGACTGGAGGGAGGCGACAGCGGCGCTGGCTTAGCAGGAGCCCGGAGCTCAGAGCGAGCGCAGTGTGGCCAGAGCGGTGCTCGGGGGGAGGGGGGAGCGGGTGGAAAAGCTAAAATTCTTAATATAAGTGAGAGTAAGTTAATACAATGAGCATCATAAGGAATAAATATTAAAAAATAAGCTTGCATAATCCAATACTATAGTTAAACATATATGTATACAGATGTGCTTGTATAAATATATTAATATACTATCCTATTTATGATATGGTATTTCTTCAGCACACACGTTCCATGATTAATGTACACGCATAGTTTTGAACAGAGGTAAGTTTGCAGAATGCTTTTAAAGTCTTCTGCAGAAGGAAGGGCAGATTACCACAGTCTTGCAAATGTGCTTTGGTTGGTCCTTGGTGCTGCTGGCCCCAGTCTCTTGCAGACAGAGACCTGACTCAGCCTTCTGTGTTGTCGTGCTCTTTGATGCTCTCGTCTTGTTTGCTAAGGAAGCTCCATGAAGCCCTCAGCTAACTGAAGAGATGACTCAAGCTTTGCTCCTACTGTACATGCTTCTTGTACGATGGAGTCAGGGCAGGTTGAGGGTAGGCTGAGTGGCAGATGACCTTAGGTCTTCCTGTATAGGCAGCCGGATTGGGACACTCACATTCATCAGGGACACTCATGTTGATGATCACAGTGTGCAGGGCTGGCTGGGACCCATTAGGTCACAGTGTGTGCAAGGGAAGCCCAGCCCCTTGTCCCCACCTCTCATCCAGGCACTCAGCTTAGCCAGGCTTGTAGGGTGAGGAACTCTTGCTGTTGCCCCTGCAGGAGGCTTGGTAGGGGAAAGGCCTGCTCTGAACAAGAATGCCTGGGTCTTCTGGAGGCCTCCCTGCACTGCCATCTTCTCATGTACCTGGGCCCATCTGAACTGTAATGCGGAAACTGCAACATGTGTGTGGTATATAAGTGTGTATGTATGATTTTAATTCTTTGCAAATATAACCTGATCTATTTACATGTGCTATTTAAAAATTTGATTATTTTAGTCCTCTAACTTTTAAATACATTTCCAGGGAAGAAATATGTAAAAGGAGGACTGCCTAGATGTGCAGTCTAGGAAAAAAAAAAATACTGGCAAAAATTATAGTTAAATTATAGTCATTTTTTGAGGGGACATTATGAATGCTTATTATACTCTTTTACTCTTTCTATTTTTATGAATTTTAAAAATCATCATCAAGCATTATTTTTACAGTCAGAAAACATATCTTGAATATGAAACTTCAAGTCTTTGTTCTCAGATTAGTGGCCTCAGGTCTGCAATAATTAATAGTTAGTTGACTTGTAGTATCAGCGATTCTTACTAGAGGTATTTGATCTTTCAGCATTGCTAACATTGGTTTTGGGGCTTTCTTTAGTAATTTTGCTGTTTTTCTGCAAGATTTTTTTAAAATAAAAATTTTATAGGCAAATACTTTGGGTATTGCTCAGTCAGTACACTTTACTTCATTAAATTCTCAAGCTCTTAACCAAAGGATGAAATCACGGTGAGATCATTAAAAAGGCAATTTGGCAATTGAGAAACCATTCCACACACTATTGAAGACAGACTTTTATCCCTGCCAAAGAAATCACCATGACTAAGAGTTCCATCACTGATATTATTATGATGCATTAAAGTCCCTATCTAATTATAATATATCAACATTTCAGCATGACTTATAAATTCTATCTTATCAGAGAATTTATTGCCTTCATTTGTCAGAATGGGAAAATAAAGAATGGAAGTCAAATGATTAACCCAAGGACACTCATCAACATTTTAAACATCTGGAAATGGGAATCTGGTCCCTAACATCAGTGTTCTTGTCCATTAGAGGGAATTTCCCATCAACTATGTCATTTTTTATTAAATAATCCTTATAGAATTAATTTATTTAAAATATGCTCTGTGAAAAGTAATCATTATCTGGCTTTGTTTGTATGCTTTAGTTTGAATTTTGAAAATTACCCAAATCTTCTCCTTTTTGAGAGGTCATGAAAAGGAAAATTCAGGGTATTGACAGATACCACATAATACTAAGAAAAAAACTGAACATCTCTGGGATAAAAATTCCATTATAAGATTTTCTTTTCAGATTTTAATTCTATCAAATTACAGTTTCTCCAATTTGTAGCAAGTGAGACAGATAAAGTTCCATATAGTCAAAGCTATGGTTTTTCCAGCAATCAAGTATGGAAGTGAGAGTTGAACCATAAAGAAGAGTGAGCTCTGAAGAACTGATGCTTTTGAACTGTGGTGTTGGAGAAGACTCTTGACAGTCTCTTGGACTGCAAGATCAAACCCGTCAGTCCTAAAGGAAATCAATCCTGAATATTCTTTGGAAGGACTGATGCTGAAGCTAAAGCTCCAATGCTTTGAGCACCTGATGTAAAAGGTTGACTGATTAGAAAAGACCCTGATGCTGGGAAAGATTGAAGGCAGGAGATGGGGATGACAGAGGATGAGATGGTTGGATGGCATCACCAACTCGATAGACATGAGTTTGAGCAAGCTCCGGGAGTTGGTGATGGACAGGGAAGCCTGGTGTGCTGCAGTCCGTGTGGTCACAAAGAGTCGGACACGACTGAGCAACTGAAATGAACTGAGACAGATAAAGAGAAGATTTCTCCTAGGCTTTTAATATTTGCTTCTGATTTGAGTTGTTGATGTTGCAAACTTTCTTTCTTACTATCTTTTGTTCCATTTTGTTTTAGTTGCCTTAAAACCATGAGAGAAGTAAAAAAAATAGAATATCTTAATATTTTTCAATTTTTAGGTAAAGTTTGGAATACATGGAGGTCTCATTTTATATTTGGTTTGAGTTACTTTGTTCACTTTTAGTTTTAATAAAATGTGAAACAAAACAAAACTCTCTAGTGTATACGACTGTTTATTTTATTATGCTCTGTTTAGTTATTCAAGAAAAAAAAGTTACAGAAGTGTAATCGTTGCCATCTGTTGTATTTGAAGTAAAATCTTGCTCCAAAGTCAAAAAAGTCATAGCAACAACTTATAAAAACAACTGCAATAATATCAACTCACTATGGTTACTAGTGAAACTTTATTTTTCTCCCAAATGAAGTAAGTTTCCTTAGAGGATTATTTTAACATTTGATTTATATCATTATTAAATTTTCCTCCAAAATCATCAAAGTCTCTAATAAGACTGTTATTTAACTCTGCCTGATAGGAGATTAACAGATTTTTCTGTCACTCTGACTCAAACCTCATCAGAACTCCCTCTTTAAAGAATATTATTTTAAAGAACTTCTTAAGATCTGACTATAAGTAGAAACGTGTGTATATATACGTGTATACATTATCCCATAGTACTAATGGCTACCGTTACAGGCAAATACAAAAAGCATGCAAATTTGGTCATGTGGAATATTCACTGTGACTTGGGAACATTTGTTCATAAAATGGTACTGCCTCAGGCCATGTTTTTGTCATGTTTTTCTTTAGAAATTGTAGCTGTAAAACATTAGGTGGTCTTCAAGGTAGACAGGTCTTATATGAGGTTGCTCTCTCTTGAGAGCATAAAGGCAAAATACGGGACCATTGGCTTCTTTGGAAATTAGCAGAGCTAGTGTTTAAAGATACTCATTGGAATTGCCAATGTATTTACTTGCTTTTTTATTTTCCAAAAGGGAACTCTAATTACTCTACCAAGGGAAAAAAATGTCTTACTGCTACATCATACATCAACATTTTAAAAATAATTTTGACCCCTCTAAATATTTTTCAAAAGAAGCCATAATCAGAAGTATTGTGGACATTCAAGAACATAGCTTATTTTAGAGAAATTAACATAAAAGTTATTGTTGAGTTATTTATCTTTTTCTCTGAAATAACTAAATAAATGGAAAGAAATAATTTAAATGATTGATACTAAATTTTCATTTGTATTATGAAATTGACAATCACTATTTTTACTACCTGAGAGAAGCTTATGATTTTAAATTAGAAAATAAATTTGGAAGTTCTTCAGTTTGTTCAGGATAAAATATTATTAAATGCTGTTGTTACAGTTTCTAAATTGGTAATGTTTGTATTAATGTAATTTATGGTGTTGGCAGGGTTTGTGTATGTGTGTGAGTATTTGGAAGAAAAGAAAATGTGTAAAAGTAAATTCAACCAGTCCATCCTAAAGGAGATCAGTCCTGGGTGTTCATTGGAAGGACTGATTTTGAAGCTGAAACTCCAATATTTTGGCCACCTGATGTGAAGAGCTGACTCATTTGAAAAGACCCTGCTGCTGGGAAAGATTGAGGGCAGGAGGAGAAGGGGATGACAGAGGATGAGATGGTTGGATGGCATCATAGACTTGATGGACATGGGTTTGGGTGAACTCAGGAGTTGGTGATGGACAAGGAGGCCTGGTGTGCTGCGGTTCATGGGGTCACAAAGAGTCAGACACGACTGAGTGAATGAACTGAACTGAATAGGTATTCACTCATTTACCACACATCTTGCTCACCTACTATGTATGAGGCACTGTGCTAGGTATTGTGTGGAATTTACAACTGAGTCTTTTTTTTTTTTTTAATTAATTAATTTATTTTTTTTTTTATCACAACCATAGTGTATCTTTTTTTTTTTTTTTTACATGTATTCCCCATCCCGGTCCCCCCTCCCACCTCCCTCTCCACTCAATCCCTCTGGGTCTTCCCAGTGCACCAGGCCCGAGCACTTGTCTCATGCACCCAACCTGGGATGGTGAACTGTTTCACCCTAGATAATATACGTGTTTCAATGCTGTTCTCTTGAAACATCCCACCCTCGCCTTCTCCCAGAGTCCACAAGTCTGTTCTATACATAGTAGTCTCTTTTTCTGTTTTGCACATAGGGTTATCGTTACCATCTTTCTAAATTCCATATATATGTGTTAGTATACTGTAATGGTCTTTATCTTTCTGGCTTACTTCGCTCTGTATAATGGGCTCCAGTTTC